CATTGCATCGCTACACGCCCGAGGCGCCGCGCAACACCTACATGAAGACGCTTGTGCTGTACAAACTCGCCGATGGTTGGCGCATTACCAATGTGTTTTGGGGCCGCGTTACGAACGCGCAATAGACCTGTGTAACGTTCGACGATTCCTTAAGCGTGGCTAGCGCGCCGCGCATCAACCGCGGTCGGGCATTGACCCGGGGCGCCGTTTGCGCTCCGGGCATTCGTGCAAGGCTTCGCATGCAGCTACCCGCCTGCGGACCGGTACGACTGCGGGCAACAACCTCAGGCGCAGGTTGCTGCTCCAAGGATTAATACAGGGAGCTGCAACCGAGGCTATCGATTCAGAGATTGTTGCAACCTCGCACGGCGTCTCACGATGCAGCCAGCGCCCAATACTTTAGCGCGCATCAACCCGACTGCGCGTGCGCATGATGTCGCTGTAGCTGCTGGTGATGCTGGTCGCCGAAATATCACCATTGACGACGCTGTAAAACTCATAGCGCGACACAATATCGGTCAATCGCGTCATCGACAGATCGGCAGCGAAGCGCAGCAAATCGCGATCGGCATCGGCAGCGTTGCAATAGATCGCATCACCATCGAACTGAAGGCGCAGCTGGAACCGCCAGACCGTCCCGGCACATGCCGCCAACGCCGGTACCGGTTGCTCATCACGAAATGCTTTGAGTTGTTGGTCGAAGCGCAATTCCTGTTCGCCGTTCGCCAGCGTGAACGCCCAGCGCTCATCCAGCGCACGGCGCTCGCCAGTAGTCAGGTCGTAGTGAAACGCGTGCCAACGATCATCGTCGTAGTGGCTGAACGACAACGTGTCGCTATCGCGCCAACGCACCGAATAGGCCGGCAATGACAGGTCGATTTCTCGCTCAACACGCGCACTTTCCAATGCGTAGATCAGGATGCCGGCATCGGTGTTCGCCAGCACTCGCGTGTCGTCCGGTGACCACGCCAGCTCGAGGAATAAGCGACCGGTATCGGGCAGCTGAATGGGTTGTAGCGTGCCGTCGCGTAAATACTTGATCCAGATCTGGCTATCGCCGGATCGTTTGGACACAAACGCCAGCCGATCCCCTTGATGCGAAATCGCCGGCAAATAATCCATGACAGCGGAGTTGATACCGGGCGCGGCACCGTCCGGCATCGTGATGTCGCGGTTCGTCAAATAGGACGTGAACAAATAGTCGCGTTGTGCGCCGTCTGCTGAGGCGATGCGTCGCGGCAATTGAACTCGCCGGCTATCCGACACCAACGTAACACTCTCGCCCGTCGCTAGGTTTGTCTCCAGCAGCGCATACGATGGATGCATCGACGGATGAACAATAAAACCGTCACGATGACTCCAGATCGCATTCGGCACGCTGTAGCCAAACGTGTGCCGCAGGCGAAAACTGTCGCTGGCCGGATCGAGCTCGAACGCCACCGACTTACCCGGCGCCGTATCGCTGATGAGCAACAGCGCGCCGGTTGTTGGGTGCGCGTCGATAAAGTGATTGCCGCGCCCGCTCGCCACCGGTTGCGACAGCCGGCGTTTCGACAATGACGCAAGATCCAGCTCGAACGCCGAATACGGCGCGGCGAACATCGCGCGCTCGACGAAGTACAACTTGCTGTCTTCCGGTGAAAAACTGAACTCGGTGTAGTTGCCCGGACGACACTGGTACAGGACATCCGGCGGCCGCGGCGCACCGTCGCGCACGATCACTTTGCGAAACTCGCAACGCTCGGCGGTCGAAAACAAATAGACGAAAAACGAGCCATCGCGCGACCAGGTGCCGAAGTTACCGTCGCCTTCTGCCGAACTGACTGCAATCGGCTCAGCCGCATCATCCAAACGCAGATACAGTCGACTGCCGCCCTCCGTATGCGCGGTGTACAGCAACGCGCGTCCGTCGGGCGCAAGGTCGCCATCCGTCTGCGACACGGCAAGACGCGATAACGGCGCAACGGACAACGCCGCGACAGGCGCCGCCGGTGCTGGTGCGCGGGTCGCAGACCAATAGAAGATCACCAGCACGCCAACGAACAACGCGATGACCAGCGACTGCGCCACGCCCAACGCGCGCGGTCGAGGGGGCAGCGGAGGACTCACTTCAATCGGCGCAACGTCGGCAATCAGGCGATAGCCGAGTTTGGGAACCGTCGCGATGTAACGGCGCGATTTGTCGTCATCACCCAGAGCCTTACGCAGCAACACAACCACCCGGTTGATCGAATTGTCCGACACGGTCTGGCCATACCAGACCGACTGCAGCAGCTCTTCGCGGTTGATATCCCGCCCTGGGTGTTGGCAAAAGTAGCTGAGCAACGCCGCCGCTTTCGGTTCGAGCACGACGTCGCCGTCGGCACCAAGGAGCTGCCGCGTATTTTCATCAAACTCAAACTCAGCGATTCGCCAGCGCATCAGGACTCAACCTTGCAGGATAGACTGGATGATCGCATGAAAAGTATTTGGTGTACGAGTGTGGCGGTGTTTTTCGCGGACGGCGCACCGATAGCATTTGTCCGTCGACCGTCAGTCTAGTTGCGATCGTATGCGATAGCTGCAAAGGTCGATATTCGACGATACGGTGTGTCCAGCCAGGTAGCCCCTCGGTTGGCGGCCATCGCAAGAACAGTCATCAAAACCACAGAGCTTAGGCTGAGCGTGCAGCTAAAATCGGCTACGGATTGAACCCGTCGACGCAAGACCTTCATTTTAGCACTGGCCCAAATTAAGCAGTTGTTAAGGGGTCAGATTTGTTTTAGGCAACATCGTATTTTCAGTGGTTGCGCGGTCAATGGCAGCGCTACCGTTGTCCCCAGTCTTCACCTAAGCTCAATAATAGACCTGACCCCATTTTCATTTTTTTTCCGGCTTGACGCCGAAATGATGCGTAAAGCGATGGCAGCGCTGATTCCCAGTGGCGAAGTACCTGTTGGGCGCTGGACAAAATCGCTTTCTGAATTGGGTGCTGTGTTCGAGAGTCACATGAGCTTCGTGCGCGACCTGATCGCGGGATCACTACGTCATGATCCGACGAAGGCACCACGAGACCTGGGTGGCCTGATTGAATTGCTCTACGAGTGTTCCATCGCAACGAGACCTCTAGACGACCCCAAAGCACTGGCGTATCTGCGTGGCGTCAAGGGCGGTGGCAAGCTGAAACGTTTTGCAGGGAAATTGCTGGCCCAGGCCTGATCTGAGAAACCGCTGCAACTGCTGTGTAGCTTAAGATCCAGGCCGGTGCGTCGTAGGCGCTCTGCGGCATTGACGTTAATAGTGTTTCTGCTCCGGACAATTTATGATGTCCAAAATCGGATATTCAAAGTATCTGACCTATTCTCGGTTCGCTATGTGTGGGCTACCACAGGATGCTCCTGGGACATTTTTCAGCCAGAGCGTCGTCGCAGCACCAGCTTAGGAAATGCTTCGGTCGTAGAGTCTGTCGAGGACGATGTCGATGTTTAAGTACACAGAAAAGAAGTTCGCCAAAGACATTGGCAGAGTGGCGAAGTCGATTGACCCATCGCTTGGGTACACGTATTTTCCTGACACGCGAGAGGTCCAGTTAGAATCAACGCGTGATGACGCTGGCGGTCCGTTCACCGTATTTCTGGGGAACATTTTTCTCAAGGTATCGGATCTGCCGAAAAAGGAAAGGACGCCTACCATAGAGGCTTTTCTGCGAGAAGTTCTGACGCCTAAGGAGCTGTCGGCGAACGAACTCATGGAGTCACTAGCACTACGAGTCAGAACCGACTTTGAAATCGATTTTCGGAACCGAAATCTCGAGCTCATGGGTCATGACGCAGAACCTTCAATTACTTCACGACGCGGTGACCTGGTCGTCGAGATCGTTTCAGATCAGGAAGAGACGGTTTCAGTTGCTCGATCTGATGACTTAGCCGAAATCGGCGTGAGTGAAGACGATGCTATCCGTATGGCAGCTTCAAAAATTCGGCGTCTTACTGACGAAAGTCAGTGGGAGAAGATCGACGATGCTATTTGGATTTCGAGATATCAAGACGACTATGATTTCGCCCGACTGGTCGCAGCGGATGGTTGCGGAAAATTCCCATTTGATGGAGTGCCAGTGGCCTTTGCACCGTCACACTCCGTTTGCCTGGTTACAAACAGCACTAACGCGGACGCGATTACAAAAATGATCGAGATTGGCAACGAACAGTCGGCAAGCCATCGACCATTCTGTCAATTGCTGTGGACAAACGAAAATGGTGCTGAATGGAAAGAGTGTCGGCCACAAAAGGAAACAGCATTGTGGCAAGTAGTTCAGCTTCAAGCGATACGCGAAAAAGTGGCGCAGTACGCGGAAACCAAGGACTACCTGGAGCGCTCACTTAACGAAGACGTCTTCGTTGCAACTTTCCAGGCCGTTCAGGATGAAAGTGGATTGACTTGCTACTGCGTATATACACTGGATCTCCCCAGCTACCTTCCGGTTGCGGACTTCGTCATTATCGTCGACTCCGGCCTCACTGAGGATGAATCTGTAATTGGTCGAGTCGACTGGGATGACTTCGTGAGCTGCCTCGGCCCAAGCCCGATGGAACGTGCTGCGGACATGACTCTGGACTGGTATCGAGTATTGGCTCCCTTGGATTCAGATCAGAGGAACCAATTGCGCAAGATATGCACATCGCTGGACGACACCGACGATAGTTGAAGACGTTCTATTAGGCATACTGTAAGCAACCCATCTTCGGTGTCGCTTGTGGTCTTCATCCCTTATTAGATCGCGGCTTGCAAGCTGGCCCTACCCGGGCCCACCTCTTTTGCGAAAAGAACCCGCATAAAAAACCCCGATGAAGCACTGCCGCATCGGGGTTCTGTTGCGCTGGGTTAGCTAGCTTAGAACTCGTAGCGTAAGCCGAAACGCATCGTCCACAGCGATGTTTGACCATTGCGCTGTTCGGCCTGGCCGTTCGCTACCTGATCCGCTGTTACGCCGTAAGGGAACGAAGCTTGCTCCAGCACACCCCAGTCGTCATTCAACAGATTGGTCAGGTTGTCGATCACGAAGAAAACGCTGCCGCGATGCTCAGGCGTGAAGCCCGGCACTTCCTGGGAGATGCGGAAATCGATTTTGCTGAACGAAGAACCTTCTTCACTATTTCGCGAACCACCGATGGGCAACACGTTCTGTTCAAAATCCAGGAACGGCTGAAATCCGAATGCACCGATGGTGCCGCCAGCACCGTCCAATGTGATGCTGTATGGAATACCGGAGTTGTACTGTCCGAACAGCGATACCCGCGTCTCATAGTCGCCGAAAAATGCCTTGGAGTAGTTCATTACAGCCGTCAGGCGGTGCTCAATAGCCCAGTTTGAAGGTGCCAGATCGTCGGCCTGCGGGTCCACGAACGCACGGTTAATGTAGTTAGAGAACGCGACTGATGACGTCATCGGATTCACATCTTCCGCCTGTGTCCACGCGTACCCCATGCGCAGGTCGATGCCGTTATCCCAGCTTTTGAAGGCGCCAAACGAGATCGACTCTGATTCATTACCATTACTAGAGTTAGTGAGCACGAATGCGGCCTCACGCTGACTTTCGTAGATCGGGTAGCCGGCCGCAGTGGTTCCAGTTCGCTCCAGATCGGCGCGTTTGTAGATTGCCGTATCGTTGCCGCGAGTAATTTGCACATCGGCTGTTACGGTCCAGTCTTGTGGCGCCAGCCAGGTCAGTCCCGCGGTAAATTTCCACTCGCTCGGTATGTCGAAATCCGGATCCAGGAAGTTGATCTCGAAGTTGCTGCCATCGCCGGCTGCGACGACATCCGCGATATTCTGCGGCACACAGTACCCCGGGCCTTGCACCGGTACACCGGCTTCGCAGTTCACATAGTTCTGCGCAAACAGATCGACACCGTCGATACGGGCCTGAACGGCTGTGGTGGACGTGTTGCTATACGTATTCGACAACCAAACGTTCGGATTACCGCCAGAGAACAAGCCAACACCGCCACGGAAACTTAAGGTATCCGAGTAGTCGAAACTGACGCCGAAACGCGGTTGCAACAAGTCTCTGCCATCCAGTGTTTCGTTGTTGCCAAAGCCGTAGCTGGCCTGAAAATCCGGGTTCAGGTTCGGCGCATCATCGGTCGTGTAATGGTCATAGCGTAAACCGTAGGTTACCGCAAGACGATCGCTAAGCTGCCACTCATCCTGAACAAAGAAGTAGTTGATGGCGTACTCGAACGATTCAGCAATATCGGCCTCGTTATTGCTGATCGCATTGCCGTAATAAACGCGGTCCGCCAGGCCATTGCGGAAGTTCTCAATAGCTTCAGCGCTATCAGCACCGCCAAATCGAATCTCTGTATCCACGTGCTGATAGAACAGGTTGAAAATATCGTACGCTTCGCGCTCAACCCCGAACGTGATGGTGTGGTCCTCGTACTGATAGCGACCACGAGCCACAAGCTGATCGACCGTATAATTCAGACCATTGGCATGTCGGCTGTCGTCACCGCCTAGATACACGTCGACGTCATCCAGCTCGACCCGGATTTCGCCGAAATCGTTGCCGGCACGCGGCTGCTGCAGGAAGTCCACATCACTGCGGGAAATTCGAAGTTCGGTCGAGAAGTCCGGTGTCCAATCGGAGTACAGGCTGATGATTGAAGAGGACAGCTCGGCACCGCGGTTGTACAGATGGTCCGAAAACTCGAACTCGACCGCCTCACCGTCAGACTCGGTGGCATTGAACGAATCGTTATACATGTGCGTCACAGAAACACGCTGGGTGTCCGAGGCATACCAATCCAGCTTCGCAATGTACTTTTCGTCTTCGAAGTCGAACGTACCTGGTGTACTCGTGCCGGGATCGAATCCGTAAACGTCACGGGAAATCTGGGCGATTTCGTCCAACTCGGCTTGCGAGACCAAAACTTCGTTTACCGCGCCACTGCCCTGAGCACCGCGGTTGTTGAAATCGACGCCATCGTAGCGCTCGTAAGCCGCGTAGAAGAACAGCTTATCCTGAATAAACGCGCCACCGAGTTCGAAACCGTAGCGGGTCTCGTCGTAGTCGGCGACCGCCAGATTGTCACCTTCCAGCGAATCACCCTGGAACGAATCACCGGTGAAATCAATAAACACCGAGCCAAACAACTCGTTGCGTCCGGATTTCGTGACCGCGTTGATATTACAGGCCGAGAAGCCGCCGTAAACAACACTCATCGGCGCCAGTTCCACGGCAACGCCAGAGACGGCATCAAACGGGAACGGCATGCGTTGCGTCGGGTAGCCGTTGGAATTCAAACCGAAACCATCATTCAAGCGAATGCCGTCGACGGTCAGACTGTTGAAACGTGGGTTCGCACCGTTGCACTGAATCGAATCAGCCGCGCTGGACTGATCGATATAGACGCGTGGATCCTGACCAATCACATCGTTGATGTTGCGGTTGATCGCCGGCGAGTTTTGCAATGCCGCCAGATCAAAGACGGCCGCCGGCCCGATCGCAGTTTCCGCAACTTCAGGTCTCGAGCCTAAGACAACCACCTCT